TTTTTTAAAAAATTGTGAATGTATAAACTAGGGTAGTTATATAAAGCTAAAATAAAGGAGAAAATATATGAGGGACTAAAATTAAGTAATGGTAAACAAAGTTTAAATGGACAGGTGGTCACTATGAAATAATATTGGTTTAGGAGTAAGATCTGATTTGTAATATTAAATAAATTGAGCAGTTTGGTTGCTGCATATATTAGTGGTATGGCCAAACTCATAACACTTAAAACATTGGATGACATTAACAAACCTTTCCAAGGAGATTTGGTCAGATGTACATCTTGTTCCAAAGCATTTCAAACCTTGTTGACAGATGAGGTCGATTTCTTCCGGTGTTTGAAGGATTAATTTAAGTGTTTGTCGGGAGCTGGAACTAGTGGGAAACTTACAAGCATGAAGAACCTTAAACTCAGAATTTGCTTGGTTAATTTCATCAACTAGGTCATCAGTAGGGCAGTCTCTCATGAAACTATTGATTCGTGCTACAAAACTGTGCGTTGTGCCTGATAACTGTCAGGTGGAAGGGGTTGATGCCCAAGGAAGTTAACTTTTCAAGAACATCATGCTGAAGTAGCAGGAGAAGCTCCTCTTGAGATGAGAGAAAGAGAACTGCACCAGAGTTGGTTTGGAAAATGTCCACTGGTGCAACAGGTGAGTGTGTACAAATACACGCAGGAATTTCCTTCTTGGATTTCTGGGTATCATTGACATGTATTCTAACTCGGATTCTCGTCATGATGCCCAGGAAGGTACATCAGACACAAAGATCACAGTAAAAAAAAAAAGAAATTTCCTTGTGTCATCCTAACCACCGTAAGTCACTGACTTATGAAGGTCAGCCTCTATGATAGCCTACCCTCGAGGAGTGACGGGGACGGGCCCAAGGCAAAGATCGGCCGGATTTAAAAAAAAAAAAACACACTGGCTACGGGATGGTCAAAATGCCTTGTGTTAACTCGCCGAAGGTGAAGTTGCCGAAAAAGAAGAACATAGGAAAGGCAGTGTAAGCAGTGTGTTAGTGAGTGGGCCAGTGTAAATGTTTGGGTGAGGGGAGGAAGGGGAAGGATGAGGGGATGAGGAAGAGAGGGGTGAACAAGAAAGCTAGTCACCCCCTTACCCTCTTGAAGGGATGTTGCTCTAAGTGACAGCAAGCAAGTTTTTCTCTCAGCTCTGATCAAGAATTACTCAGGATAACCCAATAAAAAACTTGGGTCTCAGTGCTCAGAGCAGAAACGTAGACGTCTTCTCTCGACGGCGGCAACTTGAAGACTCCAAGAGAAGTAGATCAAGGGAAAAAATTCTCATGACAAAAAATGTTCTCTCTCTCTCTCTCTCTCTCTCTCTCTCTCTCTCTCTCTCTCTCTCTCTCTCTCTCTCTCTCTCTCTCTCTCTCTCTCTCTCTCTCTCTCTCTCTCTCTCTCTCTCTCTCTCTCTCTCTCTCTCTCTCTCTCTCTTACGCGCCTTGATAGAAGGCAATCATGTAATCACAATTTCGTGAGTCGTGTCTTATTCATCAAATGTAGGTTTTGTTTACCATTAATATAATGTGTAGGACGATGTACTGACCTGAAAAGTTAACTTGCATCTGTTGGTGAACTTTGTCAGTGAACACCTGCAAGTGATGAGTCAGGTTGCCGTTCTGAGGGATCCCGCCGTTCACTGCCGTGCTGTTATTCAGATACGGAAACGCCCCGGGGTTATAAAATATCGTCACCTGCATCACGGGAGAAATAAAAGAAGAGTATAATAGATGCAAAGCGATATACATACACACTTACACTTTGTGCTGGCCTTCAATTCTTAATCTAGTGTGGTGCTCCCCTCCATGGGCGCGAGTCCCGTATTCTTTAATATAGTATTTAAATACAAGCGAGGCTCTTTTAAATTACGTTCATTACACATGGTTTAGATCTTTACAGTTACCTTATAAAATAACTTATGTGTATACTAATTTAGGCAAAACCGATAAATTCAAACACTGTGACTTATTTCCACTAAAATTCTTGAAATTCTGCAGGAAGTTCACGAAAAGGAGTTATCCTGGAAAGGGAAATTAGCAAATGGTAAAGACAGCTATATCTAAAGTGGGAAAGTCGTTTGTGTATATCGCCAATTGTACTGAGGAGTGGCTCAAACCGCAGTGCCTTTGGCTCATATCTGAAGGGCTCGGGTTCGATTCCTGCACAAGTGGAAACGTTGGACATGTCTCCTTGAACCTGTTGTCTCTATGCACCTATCAGTAACTAGGTACCTGGGTGTTAGCCTACTGTTGTGGGTTACATCCTGGGGAAGAGAATGAAAGGACCCCAGTGGAAATAAGCCAGTGGCTTCATTGGGTTTACTGGGTTAATAATCTGAATACGATCTTCTTCTTCCCTTTTTCTTTTCCTTTTCTTTCTTCTCCTTTCCTTCCTACTCCTGTCGACTCTGAATCTGATAGAAGTCTCTACCAGGATCTTTCAATAGATCATTGGATCATGAGTGTAGTGTTGTTGGATCAGCGATTACTGTAGCAAGAAACTTAAAGTTCCTCAAACACCTTTAAAAATTGTATGAGTTCTGAACTGCATGTTTTCAAACCAGACTGATTCAGTTGCCCTCAGACTTGCCACGGAAGCTGTTAAAAAATCATCAGTTGTATTTCATCGGATTCAGTGTCAGCCTTGTTGAGTTTAAATTCCAGAAATGCCATCAACAATGTCGCGGAGGAAAAAAGAAAGGTGCAAGTGTTGGAAAATTACAACATACTAATAAATTTTGTGTGGACGCTACATTATGTTAACATGTCGACTGAGAGAGCTGAGGAACTGGTACAGACATGGTGGGGGACTGAGAGAGCTGAGGAACTGGTACAGACATGGCGGGGAACTGAGAAAGCTGAGGACATGGTACAGACATGGCGGGGGGCTGAGAGAGCTGAGGAACTTACGACATGGTGGGGGACTGAAAGCTGGGACATGGTACAGATAGGGCGGGGGGCGGGGAGAGCTGGGGAAGGTACAGAGATGGGGGGGGACTGAGAGAGTGAGGAACGGTAAGACTGGGGGGGGACAGTGAGTGAGGAAAGGTACAGACAGGGCGGGGGACTGAAGAGCTGAGGAAGGTACAGACATGGGGGGGGGATGAGGAGCCGAGGAAACTTTTTACAGACATGGCGGGGAATGAGAAAGCGGGGAACGGTAAAAAGCAACAGGGTTCCCAAAAAAATATTGCACCGGTTTGGAGAAGTAACATACACAGTAAGAAATAGAGAAGAGAGTTTAGTGAAGAAGTGAGTCAGTGAAGAGTAAAGTCTACAAAATTATATAAAGTATATTAAATAAAAAATTTGTTTATGATAAGAAAGGTGGAAATGGAAAACTAGAGAGTGTGGTGGCCCTGTTACTTTAAATTACCTTTTTACTAAATTGGCAGGGTTGTTAGCAACTCCGAGCAAGGGAAAAACAATTGGGGGGTATAGAGGAAGGTAAACACACATTCCAGGGTTTTTTCAAAGCAAAGAACATACAAGCATTACAGACACACTTGACAGTGTAAAAAAATTGTGATTAAGACGGCTCGGATAACAGCTTATGTGTCAGTGATGGACTCGACTCCTGATAGCTAATCAACTATTGGGGCCGTAAATATACGCTGTTTTAGAGGGTGCATTCACTCCCAGGACAATGTATTCCCCCCAGATGTTTCACCCAGGGGCACTGTGTTTTTGCTCCCGGCGATGTGTTTATTCCCAGAATGACTGTGTTTACTCCCGGGTGACTGTGTTTTACCTCGGACACTGTGTTCTTCCAGGAGAGTGTGCTGAACATGGGAACTCGCCACTCGAGAAAAATCTAAAATGTGAAAGATAAGAAAAGCCCCAGTGTTGTAATCACAGAGGCTTTAAGGCAATAAGAAATTTTTTTTTTTATTTTACCACTTTTTAAAAGTGTTTACTAACTAAAGAGACCTTGAGCCTCTCCCCACTTGGAGCCATAAAGTCTCAAAGAAAACCAAAAACCTTTGCAAACCACATTCAAACACTCCACCCCCCCCCCCAAGGGAGGGGAGCCCGCTGTGACCCCCCTGACCCCTCCAACCTAGAAAACCCCTCACTCACTCTTTACAATCACAGATTTACGAGAATCCCAAACGTTAATTCATACCCCTCTGAAAAGCCTGACCCACCTCCCCCAATACAAATTCTTTTACGACACATCGTACGATAGAAGTTAGCAAGAACTTTCCTTCTCCCCTCATACCCCTCCCCCCCCTCATAAAACCCCACAATAAATAATCTACCATGTATAACTAAAGCCTTATACAACCCCGTCAACCACCCTTTCTAACTTAAAGCACGCAAAACAACACCCCACACCCCCCACCCTCTTACCAACCTACAACCCACACCTAACCCCTCAGCCCTTCACAAAATAAATACAAACCGGCTCATCCCCTCCACGATACCACACCCCCCACCCTCTACAACCTGTCCCGTTTCGTAATCCACCAGACGAAGGATCCCATGCAGGAAACAAACATCACCCTGCGCCCGAGGTTTAACTCATTTTCAAATCTAAAACCAAAAACCTTCCACGCAACATGGGGAACAAACCCCAACTGGGACAACACACCACCTACAAGTAACCACACAAAACCCTTATAAAAGAACCTTTTTTTCATTCCCAACCAAAACACAGCCCTCAAAACGATTTTTGCATTCCCCCCAACCCCATTCCTCGATACCACACACCCAGCCCCGTCGTGTATCCTTCCCAACTGCCCCACTTCACACCCCACGCAACACTTTTCCCTTTTTTTAAACACACATTTAGCCCCGTCCCCCAAAACCCCCAACCCCAACCCCCCGACTTACAGGTAACATTACAACTCCCCCCCCCGTACCAACACAACGGAACCCCCCAAAAAAAAATTTTTACCCCGTCTTTAAAATTTCCCCAACGCTGTCCCTGAATTGGGGAAAACATGCAACATGCTAAATCTTATAATAAATAAAATTTTACGACTATCACTCGCTGTATAAGATTTGGTGCTGGGGGCCAGAACACCCAGACGCCCCCCGATCCTTTTTAAACCCCATCCGGTTTTTTCCCCCCCCCTCGCCGCAACCATGTCATCCTTATAAATAATACCACAAATCTTTAAAGACATCGCCCATTCTTTAACAACATTGCATCTCCCCCCCACACCACCCACCCAAGAACCCAACCCCATGCACCTTGACTTCGCACTATTTTCCTGCATTCCCGTGGCACTTCCAAATAATTGCACAACCTCGTCCAACACTCCCATTGACATCCCTTCGCGAATGAGAACAGTGGTGTCGTCAACATATCCAATTAAACCCGGCCAGGCCCTCCCACCCCCCACACTTCCCTCACCTGGCGTACATAAGCTGCGGTCAACCATTCTATAAAAGGGGTCCTGGAAACATGCAAATAATATTTGTGACATGGGGCATCCCTGTCTAAGGCCTCTACCCATTGCAATATCCCTCCCCATACACCCATTAATCTGTATCCTCATTTTCGCCCCCTTGTATAACGTATTTACCCACTCGACTATTTCCTCCCCAAAACCCTGTCTCCTAAGTATAACCTGCAAAGCTCCCCTTTCCACTCTATCATATGCTCCCTGCCAATCTAGAGCCAACAAAGCCGCCCCTTCACCCCCACCCTTAGCTTACACAAAACTTCTCAGTATGCCATGTCCTTCAGTCATCGACCTTCCTGGCAACCCAAACTGCGATTTTGACACGACCCTTCCCACAACACCTTTGAACCTATTACCTAAAATTTTTGCGAACACCTTATAGTCTGCACACATCAGTGATATGGCTCGGTACTCCCGAAGGGTGGGCTGCCCCTTGACCTTCGGGACCAACACTACAACTGCTGTTACCTGCTTCTCCCCCAACTTACCCTTCTCCTTCATACGATTAAATAACCTAACTATAAATCCCCTTATTAAAAGTCCAATGTTGTAAATAAAATTCTACTGGAGACCGTCAATACCCGGCACTTTCCCCTTCCTCATTCCCCTTAACGCATTCTCTATTTCCTCTGCCGTAATAGTCCCACCTAAAGCCTTTCTATCACTATTTCCTAAATTACACGTCACATACATACACACCTTGTCCAACGCCATGTCACCCACCCCCCCACTGTTCCAGTACTTCTCGTACCAAGCCTCCCCATACGCACACATCCCCTTCGTGATTCGTATCTCCTGCCCTGCTCTATAATTCCCAACCATCTCCATTACCTCTAAACATGGAATAGCTGTCACTGCCTGCCTTTGCTTTTGATGCTGCAAAACACAAGCTGACGGCTTGTCGCTCCAAAACACTTCTTCCACCCCTGCCTGCACCCTTACAGCTTGAAACCTTTCATTTTGCAACACCCTCATCCTCCCCTTTATTTCAGCTATTTCATCCATAGGAAAATTATTCCCCCCCACCCCCCGCCCATAGCAACCTCTTAACCTATCCTCTAAATAGTTAGCCAGTCCATATTTTAAATTATTAATAAGTTTTCCTTCTCTCACATAAAACTTTCTAATCCTTTCTTTTGCAACACAATCCCACCATGTCACAATGTCATCCACTCCCTGTTCTTCCACACTAAGCTCCCTCCATAGGACTGAAAACCCCTCCAACCCCTCCTCATCACCTAACACACTTATATTTAATTTCCAATAACTTCTATATATGTT